CTCTGGAAGACCCAACTGCTCCAGATCTGATCTTAACGGCCCGTCTGCTCCAAATTCCATCTTAACGGCCCGACCGCTTCAGAACCCGGCCATTCTGATTCAGCGACGTTCGGCCGGTCGATTCGTACTCTGCTACTGAGCCGTTTCCTGTAGGTTGTTCAATACGCGCCATGGGTTCCTCTCTTTGAGCAGCGTGGCAACGGGTCAACATATCCCCTATGAAGATACAGTAGCAGGGCTTGACGCAGTAGCAGGCACGGTGAAATATACCCTGACATTCTCCCCTGCGGTTGCCCTCCGCCATGCAGGCTATGCGTCATAGTGGCGAGGGCTCCAGCAGGGTCCCTTGAACTTGCGGCTCAGCCTTGTACTGGTCTTCTGGGCGGGTTCCACTGTCTCCGCTACCTCAGGAGCAACACCTCCATCCACAGAAAAACTTAGTACGACGTCATCGAGTTGCACTCTTGTGTTTGGACTTGAGACCCATCGGTACAGAGGCTGAGATGAGCATTATAAGCGTTATATTTTATTTAATGGCATTGACGATTATTCTAGCCATTAGATTAATCGACAAAAAGCAAGTAAGACCGGTATAATTGATTCACATATTCAGTTTAGTTCAACTACCGTAAAATTGTTCTAATATGCCAGAATTCTGGTTGCATGAAATTACGGTTGCGTAGTACCCAATGGATGAAGTGGATTACTTGTGGTAATGAGCAGCGAGAGGACAATTACGAGCAGGACGATGACGGGGAACACTTGTCCACGCTCATGCACAAAGTAGGTTTGACGAAGCCAAGGATGACAGAGAGAGAGAGAGAGATGAGATGAAGTGAGAAGCCGCGCTGCGACTCCTATTATTTAGACAGAAGAAAAGCCACAGTACACCTTTTCATGCGCTGTTTATCATGTTTACAGTTTGAGAAAGTTAATACCAGCTTAAACAAGATGAGGACGATACATCCGTATCAAAATTATTGACAATAACTAGTGGAGCATGTACCCAAGCCCCACCACCGAAGATCACGACGTCAGTGGACTCCACGTCATCTCTCCAGCAACCACGCCAAGTGTCGAAGTCACCCCACGTCGCTGCCGCCGGACCCAAGTGAAGGATCCGAATTTCTATTATTACTAGGCGTCGTGCAGGTCCCACCCTACCTCGTGGTCAACTCTTCCCTCTCTCGTCAGTGGCCGGACGCCCCCTCTGCAAGCCTTCGCTTGCCCAACGACGTGCTGACGATCGTCCATCGGAGCGCTGACAGTGCGTTGCGTACGTACCTCCCACGGCACCCCGCCCTGCGCGCCGGTCTCCAGCCCTCGACGACCACCGCGTGCACCCTGCGCGTCCCTCTCTGACCATCCTCTTTGGTGGATCTGCGATGGGCTCATCCTCTTCTGCTCTGCCATCGACGTCAACATTGTGACGTGCAAACGCCGAAGGTCCCCTCTCGACCCTCTTTGGTGGTCGTGTGTTTTGATTTCATCCCATCTTTCCTCATACGTGTTTCCACCGCCATCGGATTTAGCCGAGTGGGCTGCGATTTTCTTGTTTAGAGGCCGACTAAGATTTTGAAATGTGGAGCTTTTTTTTATCACGGTGACCTGAGACAGTACTCCCGCTTTCGATCAAGGAACGGAACTGTCTTCTCACCTCATCACAGTCGGTTTTCAAAGGTTTGGATCCGATCGTGTCTGAGTTTTGTGGCTTGTTATTTGCCCATTGTGTTCCCTACCCATTTCATCCGCATCAGTCATATTCATCCTGCATCAATAACAGCTGTAGGTGGAGATTCAGTGTCCTAGAACGCACCGATTCTAGCTATTGCCAAAGTATCCCCTTCTGCCATCGAACAAAAACTTATCCGGTAAACGAGCAGCAAGAGTAACTGTGAGCCAACAAGGCGGCTGTGGGTGTACTGGAGACATCCCACCGTCAGATTTTGACCGCTAATATTGGGCCAGGTGGTAGATAAGTCAAACTTGAGTTCGACCTCACCTAACAGTAAGGTTCCCCTTCATATGAATGTGCCTGTCCGTCTCACTTCGTGTTTTTTTCTTCATCTTCTTCTTTCCTGTTTGCATCTACGAAAGTCTTTTCCGGTATCACACGAGGTCAATATATCCAATTTTCTTTCTTAGCGCCATGCAGAATCAGTCACATCACCAGTGGGTGGATATAAGGCTTCAGGATGGGTACTGAAAGGCCTGGACCGAGTCCAGCTACCGACGGCCCCCATCACAATTCTTCGGAAGGCTTTGACAGAGCGGAATAGTCGTCGCAGAGTAAGCAGGTATAGGGGACTACATCAGGAACCCTAATCCGGTAAATGCCGATCCGGATCCTGATAGGAATTACATTTCTCCAATCGCCCGATCAAGAAGAAGTGCTCTGTTTTGTAAAACTAATAATAATATACGGATATATTCACAATAATGTAAAGTTTGTATAACTATATGAAATTCCCAAGGATATATGAGCACATTGCAACTCTAATGCAAGATTATTTTATAAAATCGTAAAGCTGTCTCAGAACTTCTTTCCGTTTGTATGAGGCATGTTCTAATATGGAAATCGTGGACAACAACAGTTGCTAGTACTTCGCAGTTGTCCGTCTTTCTCAAAGGTGGCATCGCAAGTGTCGAATGGCTGCATTGTGAGCAGCGTATGGGGAACGAGAGTCAAGTAGATGGCGGAGGAGATGACAGTGAATGGGGCGCACTACAATAAGAAATGTGAACAAAATAGAAGCAATGGAGACGAAAGAAGCAGCGAGGGGGAAGGCTGTGGCAGTCTTTGCTCTAGTGAGCCTCTGTCGAGTTCATGCTGGCATAACTATTTTCTCCAACTCCTCTTGTACTTGGTACTTTGTGGCTTCCATCATCAATCAAAATGTTCTGGACGACTTTAAGAGTATCAATAGATTAATCCCAGATTGCGTGGACTTTTAGAGTCCCATCAATCCTGAAGATGTACAAAACTTACGAATCTTGTAGGATTACTAAATAAAGTATAAAATTTACCACAGTGAGACATATTAGTCAATCGATAAAAGAAATCCTCGGATGCTTCAAAAAAATTAGGCTTCCTGTTGGGTTGCAAACAAGACAACGACGTCATTATTATACAATAATTTAGTTATTGGGCCCTCAAAAGTTGATAATTACTATGCTATGCAAATTGCGCCTTAAAAGCTAATGGCCAACAAGATTCATAAGACTAAATGATGGAATCAATATGAAGGTTCATTCCCTTACATGGACCCACGAGGAGGAAGAAGAGGGAGGAGAAAAGCCCACGTCACCCATGCACCCCTTCTCCCCTAAAGAAAGAGTCTCTCCCTCCAAGAGACACCGCTTGACATCCTTCGGGAGGGGACGCCTCTAACTACCTTCCTCTATTCCCTATAAATACTCAAACTCAAGAATTTAGAATTTAGAATCAAGAAGGTTCGTGTTATCAAAAATCTCCATTACAAAGGTGTGTTGATTTTTAAATTACTTGTGAAGTTGGTCAATGTTTTTAAATCTTGGCTCTTAGAATTTGTGAGATTCATAGGATAGCCACCTGTGTGAAAGATTGATGGTCCTAACCCTGGTTCAGAAGCATTGTTTGATACTTTGAATTAAAGAACATAAAATTACAGGATCATCTGAATATTAAATCCTCAAAATTCTAATTTTAATCAACTTTAAAGATTAATGTGTAGATCTTTTTAAGGAGATCTATTCTGACCCTTCGTCCTGCATCACTAAACCTACTAAAAAATAATTGTCTAACTTCCTCATTGTCTAGTAAGTCATTATCACGTATATCATCACATTTACCTAATTGAATACTATATAATGATTCAATTGAGACAATATTGGACAAATAAAAATATTAAATCTGCTGATTTTTTAATTATTACAATCCTTTCATGCTGCTCATATAGGATAATTAATATTTTGAATGATAAATGAGATTTTTCATCATCAGTGTGATTCCACTAGAACATGGCCGTCACAAGCAAAATCCGTTGGCCTGGGCCAGGCAGGACTTGGAGCTTGTTCTGCCCCTTCACATCCTTACCTGTTTTTGTCCGGGTAAATGAAATCGCCGGCTAACATTATTTTCAAGCTTAACTTTTACTTTAATTTTAAACCATAGTCCAACAACGTTGTATCCCCTTGAGGATAAAGCCCACTGCTTCTACACGATTTCATGTATCAAGTTAGGAGACGCTTTGACGAACGACAGAGATTTTGAAGCAAAGAAACTTATTCCACAGACTCAAGACTCGACCGACGACCTGTCACCGACAAAGGAGACTATAGAGGAGGAAGATGACGCATACAACACGAGGTTGTTTATTACAACAACACGCTTATTTAGTTCTCGAGGACGTTACAGACGGAACCACTGAGCTCCCCTCCTCACCAGACAACGAGCAAGCCATACCGGGAACAGAGCTGAGGGGGGCTGCCAGTCAGTCCAGGTCGCTGACTATGGGCATCGCTTGTAACAGATGCATCGACGGGGAAAAATGCCCCGGCAATCTCCACGAAGGTAACCCAACCTTTTGCACCTCTGTGAGCATGACGTATCGAATATACAGAACCCTATGTCCGAGCCGCAGAGGTTCTTAGCCGCTTCCACAGTCTGCGATAACTCTCGAGCAGAACCTACGTCAACGTAAAAAAATAGTGTCATGGAATCATACGAACTTTTATGAAACCCATCGGCACAGATAGCGATGTTACGAACATTATGCTTTAGTTGAGGATCATTAATTACTTGTTAAATGATCAATTCACAACAAGGAAGAACCGTGTACGCACAGATTTAGTTTAGTTCAACTACAAAAGATTATTCTAATATGCTAAAATCCTAGATGGATGAAATTACTCCCGAGTGATCCCCAATGGATGGAATAGAGGATTACTTGTGGTACTGAGCAGCGAGATGACCATAACGAGCAGGAAGACGACGGGGAACACTTGGACACGAGCCATGCGCAAAGCAAGCTTGAGAAAGCCGATGATGATGGAGAGAGAGAGGGAGAGAGAGAGATGGGATGAAGAGAGGGGACACGCTGGGGCACCTATTATATAGACTGAATAACAGATGTATGACACTTCAACATGCGCCGTTTGATCATCTTGAGGACGCCTTATTGATGGTTTTAAGGAAAATGTGACTTAATCTACGTCGGGATTAACGTTGATAGAAGCCCTAGGGTAATGGTCAATTCGCCCGGACGCACCACGCCGGCACTGCGGTCATCGACGTTAGTCTAGCCAATGGGCAGCTAGAGTGCTAGTGAACAATAGAATCCAATGCAGGGATAAGGCCAGCCCGTATTGACATTTTGATTAGACTCATTTAGGGCTATGTGGATAGATAAGTACTCAAAATTGAGGATGAATTTACCGTTCCCCTACACCTCAGTCCATCTGTATTTTCTATTGTCTCCTCCCCGACTTCTGCATCTGTATTTTTATTCTTCGTGGCATCTAAAGTCAATGACAGTGAAAGGAAGATTGTGCAGACTCGAGATTCTAAAATACTATTGTGACTAGTCAAATTTTGAATGAGGATATCTCTACTAGGATGAACTAAATTCCTAAATTTGCCATTTTTTTTTGCGCTGACGTATGGTTCGGCGTGAATACATGGGGCTCTGGGCAGATCCTCCTAAGCCTGGGTCGGCCTAGCCCGGCACATCTCCAGCTGGAGCCGCTTTGGTAGGAAAGAGGGGCTTGATCGTCACTCGGGAGGGACAAGGAACATCAGGTAAAACTGGGACATGACAATCAAATCGTTCAACTCGAAATCACATTGTCTCTCGCTTAGCGCACGCAAGTCATCAGTTGAGGGTGGTCAGCGTGGATAGACAAGTAGAGTACTGGCGGTGGCAAACAGCGGAAGGAGCATGACGATCAGGTGGATGGTGGCCAGTACGCGGACGGGAGCCATGGGCGAAGCAGGCAATGAAGAGCGAGAGTGGCGAGGGGAGGAGGCTGGCTAGGGCTCGACTTGTGTAGGGAGAAGAACGGATTATTATAGGCTTGGTCGCATCTAGGTTCTCGGTACGTCGATGCCAGTTGGTGCAAATGTTTATCCGTAATACTGTTTCAAGACCCTTTGAGGTCCTGAAGTACAGATGTCGAAGGGGGATACATGCCAGTGATCTTCGCGTCAGTCGGGCAGCTATGAGGGAAACCCGACAGCTCCACGTTCACAGTTTGACCCAATGTTTGCATTTGGCCAAATAGATGCGTATTGCGATTCGAACACGAGATTGGCATCTGAGTCTTACTGAGGATGCACGTTCCCTGTTCAGGATCCCTCCGCGCCCCCCGCTCCCCCCCGCGCCTTCTCTCTCCCTCTCTTCAGTCTATATACTGATGAAAATATTTCAGGTTACTAAAGTTCTAAATTCTAGAGGTCTTGTGAAATTTTATGTTCCTATCCTAAAATATTCGACCTGCCTTGAAAGGGGACGCCAATTAAAGAACTTTTCTCATTAATTTTATGTTCATACCTTTATTTTTGGACCTTAGAGAAACCCAAACGTAGCGGGAGATGATGATCAAGTTCCATTAATACTTTTCCCGTCTATTGAACTTATGATTGGCATGACCGCAACGGTTCTTATGAGAGTTGCCAGTTCCAGGCAGGAAATAAACGCGTCGATATTGGTTTCTAGTTCCAAATTTGTGAAATCTCGATAATGTTTACTGACTTACAGCTCCCCTGCTTGCAGGACCCTCGCCGGATTACAGACTTGATATCTCTGTACTGTCCGCATGCAGAAGGAAGCTAGTTTGGCCGATGTGTGGTATCGAAATCTGACAGCTGACTTCACGAGGGTTACACCCTTTAAAAGGATGGGCTGACTCAACGCGTGAGCAATTAACGTCAACTTGGTGCGTATAATAACTTCAACTTCTTCTTGTTTTTTTTATTCTTTTTCTTCTTGAATATTTTGATCGTACATAGCCTAGTTTAATGAGTATTGTTGAGTGAAAACCTGTACTGACGTTGTGAACGACGCTTCCGAGGGATATCAATTCCCTGATAGCCATAACATCAACCTGAGGCCAGAATGGGCATGGAGAGATTGGTTGAGGGAGAAGGAGAGAGGGGAATGAAGGCGTTTCTTGGTAAGGGGAGAGAATGGGGTATGCAGGAGAGGGAGCCATGAAAGGAAGGGGTTTGGGCTTTATGGTCCCAGAGATCATCCATGTCCAGGTTTAACAGACTTGAGGCTCATTGGTGCAGAGAAGAACATTATCTCCAGAAATCAAGGTCCATTTGGCCATTGAATACAGGCATTGTTGACATTTTGGCGGAGCTGATAAAGGACAATTCCTAAAACTTGAGTACAACCCCACAAGGGGGTCTTCTTCGGGGGGGCCTCTCACCTTGATTTCACCTTCGTTTTCTTCGTCCTTGGTTCGTGTAAGTCAAAGTCAGAAATGTGTTTTCTTCTTCAATACTTCACGTCAAGTCATCACGGGAGGATTGTGCCCATTCAAGTTTCATTAGTGTTACCGTGGATGAGCCGGTGACTTGAGTTAATGGAGTCCATTGACCTGGCCCTTACACGTCAGTTATTTCCAAGGCGGGAGTTATGTATGCTGCGAAAGACAAGTGCACTTGGGAACGAAATCAACGAATAGCTTCTTGGCAGATAGGCTCTTGACAAAAATGATGTGGATGCTTAGTTGTGGTAATTAGCAGGGTGAGGACTATGAGTAACAGGACGATGAGCGGGAATACTTGGAAGCTAACGATGGGGAAAGCCTAGTCTAAAGAAGAGGACGAGAGAGAGAGAGAGAGAGAGAGAGAGAGTGAGGGGAATACGACATCGATTATTTACAGAAAAACCGCTAGCACACGGCCGGCTCGACTAAATTTTAACGTTTGAACAGGTTAACAGACGTGAACGCAAGATGAGGACGATGTCCATATCACCAATACCATCGGATAACAGGCGTAGGCCGACAGTCAGCGTGCCAGGATAAACGCATCGATACGTGTTGTTGCGTCAGTGTCGACTTCGACCGTCAAAAGGAGGTTTAGCTGACCAATGAGAAGCTATAGTACCAGTGACCTACTGATGAGGCTGCATGGATGAGAGCCCCAGCCATCCTGACATTTTGACCGAGCTGATATTGTGCTGGGTGGATTAAACAAGTCCTCAAAATATTGTAAGGACATCGCTAGGGTTTACGCTCCCAGTCACTCTCGCTCTCTCGCTTTCTCTCTCTTTCCTTTATTCTAAGACATTTTCACCCCTGTCTGCATTTTCTAAAGTTTTTAGTACTATCGAAATCAATATATCATCTTTTCTTGTTCACAGAGTTAGGCAAGGTCAATAACGGGAAGATTGTTCACCATCGAGTTTCACTAGTACCTCCGTGGATTAGTGAACACCGACTGTCGTAAAGGGTGTCGGCAGACATGACCCTAAATCAGCAGTTTGTTTTGAAGTTGGAGTCGGGTCCACCGTGAATAATGGTTGCATCTCAAATTTCAGGCGAGATCCTATATTTCTTCGGCAGGCTCACCCACCCACATGCCTAGCGGAAGATTCTACGAAGGGTGAGACGGAGCGGGGTCGTAGCCGCAGAGGAAAAAGACATGATATCAAAGGGAAATTGGAAAATATAACCATACGACTTGTCAGAATGTAGATGAATAAAAACGCGGCAAACTTCTCAAAACCACAATCTTTTCTTACGAACAAGTCACAGAGTAAGCTAGTCTATCGAAACCGAGGAAACCTAGGCAAGTGACGTCCTCTCAAGGGGTCCAGGGGGGAGAGAGAGAGAGAGATGGTAGCGTTGAAGCAGGCCTACACTTGACGAGCTTCTGGGGCAGACCCTACCCAAGCCAAGGCCTCGCCTGACTCGCATTTCGGCTTGGCATGGGTGCCTTTCCCGATTAGAGAGGAAGCGCAGTTTGGACTTGGCTCATGGCCCCCCTAATCATTTCGCGCACTCGGTAACGACTGAACCTGGCGGGCCTTAACATGCTGGTGGTACCATTCAACGATTGAAGGACAGCCCGGTTTACCTACGAGGAGTACCCAACTCCCTTAACAAAATCGATGAAGGAAAAGGTTACATGTATTGGCCGGACATAACTCATCTCAATATTAAATATTCTTGTAATCTTGAAAATAAACTACTCAAATAAGAAATATCAAAATTCGTATATTCTCAATTTTAAGATATTTCATAATTCTAACCATCCGCTAGCGTAGGCTTCAAACTTATGTTAACTACATAAGAAAACCATCTAGTGTTATTCGTTTCTCATATCTCGGCATATACGCCAGGAGGAACCATTTCAAACACATCTGGACTAAGATAATTGGATCTGGGTACTGAGCGTTTCAAAACAGGAGAATCTAGTGTTATTCGAGAGAGTCAACAAGGTACAGACGCAACCTCGGGCAAACTGTGAAAGAAGGGGTTGTTGACGATCACTACAGCAACACTCATTTATTTAGATATTAGGCCTGACACGAACGTGACCTTTAACGACGCTGCAGGATCTGACGTGTGGGCGAAGATCGGCTGTTACTGCTATGGACATGGTTTGGTGCAGTGACAGCCGGGGAGAACGATGCCGCGGCACTCTCCTGATGTGAAACCTTCGCACCGGCATATAGTCTTGCAATTCTTGTCGTTTCTGCAAACCCCATCAAACCGGATGCTCTCCGAATCGCAGGGCCTCAAGGACGCGTTCACTGCCGGCGCTACCTCCCGAACAGCACCTATGTCCGTACCAAAAGGTTATTATGCGATCAAACATTTGGGAAGATGGAGCTGGGCTAACGGCGCATCGGCAGAGTCTAACGTCACCATTGCGTCATATTTTTTGCGATCATGAAAAGGTTTTTTCTTGTGAAAATATGAACAAGATATGAATAATCAAGGATCAGAGAAGGGGATTAATCATCTTACTGGAAAAAAATAATTCATAGGTACTTCTAATTTCGCATGAGGTGATTAACTGTGATCTGGATGGTAGGGTGATTACCGGTGGTATTCAACGCGCATAGCATGACCAGGAGTACGGCGGGAAGCAGACGGATAGAACCCATGTCAGAGACAGAAGTAAGCTCGAGAGGCGACGATGGGAGGAGGGAAGAATGGGTAGAGAGAGAGAAAAAACCGGTGGAGGGGTAAGGGAGGGTGCTGGGTTGGGGTTATTATATAGGGAGAAGAACGGTGTTATTACAGAATCTGTCGCGTCTCCGGTCTCGGACTGCAGGTATCAGTGCAGCTGCTGTGTCAAGCCCTTACTGAGCGAAGTCCTCGCGGAAAGGGCTGCCATAGGCCCGTGAATTGGTCTCCAGTGAGCGGGCTATACCAGCAAGCCGATGGATCCACGTTCACATCTTCAACCAACGCCCGGAATTAGGCAAATGGATGGATACCAAGAGTCAGAGGTCGAATTTGGATGAGGACAGTGAGGGTCATCGTTCTCCACTCAGGTCAAACCCCGTCCCCTTTCCCCCACTAATGGTCCCCACTACCCCAGAATTTAGTTACTAAGAACTTCGCAATCGTTTCAGACAATGATAAGATTAAACTAGAAGTGACTGCCTACGTTCAACATGTGAATAGATCCGATACTTGGTGGAAGCTTTTGGTCAAGGGGATAAAACCCTAAGCTAAGATAATACATTAGGAAATATTATTACGTACCTATTGAATAGTGCCGCTATGTCTTGTATCACAATTCAACATTAATTCAACACCAATTCAACAACGTGACTCGTATCACAAGGCAGGAAATGTGCCTTGAAAACCGGTTGCATTAGTGCAAACTTTAGCCAGGCAGTCCAATCTCACATACTTACCCAACCAATTGGTGAAGGATGTAATGATTATGCGAATTGGGCCATTCTCGTAGGTTATTATCATTTCGGGACAGGGCCTAAAATGGTTTTCAACTAGTAGTTAGCTATAGTGTTTACTCACCATTGGAGACCCTGTGGTGGTGGCATGCTGCCATGACTGTGTGATGGCACCGCAACAAATTACAGTATGCCGCACCACAGTTTACTAGAGTTCTCATTTTTTAGGATGTTCTGTTAGCGCATGAGCTTACCCTCTATCGACATCAACTCACATAAATGGGTTGTCTTTGCTCTAGTGAGCCTCTGTCGAGTTCATGCTGGCATAACTATTTTCTCCAACTCCTCTTGTACTTGGTACTTTGTGGCTTCCATCATCAATCAATAGATTAATCCCAGATTGCGTGAACTTTTAGAGTCCCATCAATCCTGAAGATGTACAAAATTTACGGATCTTGTAGGATTACTAAATAAAGTATAAAATTTACCACAGTGAGACATATTAGTCAATCGATAAAAGAAATCCTCGGATGCTTCAAAAAAATTAGGCTTCCTGTAGGGTTGCAAACAAGACAACGACGTCATTATTATACAATAATTTAGTTATTGGGCCCTCAAAAGTTGATAATTACTATGCTATGCAAATTACGCCTTAAAAGCTAATGGCCAACAAGATTCATAAGACTAAATGATGGAATCAATATGAAGGTTCATTCCCTTACATGGACCCACGAGGAGGAAGAAGAGGGAGGAGAAAAGCCCACGTCACCCATGCACCCCTTCTCCCCTAAAGAAGGAGTCTCTCCCTCCAAGAGACACCGCTTGACATCCTTCGGGAGGGGACGCCTCTAACTACCTTCCTCTATTCCCTATAAATACTAAAACTCAAGAATTTAGAATTTAGAATCAAGAAGGTTCGTGTTATCCCTCTCACCTCTTGGATTAGGGGTTCTTTCTCCCTCATTCGCCCCTTGGACTGGGGGTTCCTCTGCTCCTTTCATCGCCTCTTGGATTAGGGGCTTCCTCTCTTCTTCTCGCCCTCTTGGATTAGGGAGACCTCTTTCTCTTCCTCTTCACGTCGTCCTCATCTGCCCCGTCATCGCCGTTCCCCTCCTTGACATCCGCCCCGTCGCCGCCACTCTCCTTCTCGCCAGCCACCCCGTCGTTGTCGTCCCGTCTCCTTGTCGGCCGTCCCATTACCGCCACCCCCCTTCTCGCCAGCCTCCTGTCTCCGTCGTCCCGCCTTCTCGCCGTCCGCCCCGTCGCCGTCGTCCGCCTCCTCGCCGTCCGCCTCGTTGCCGTCGTCACGCCTCCTCGCCGTCCGCCTGTCGCCGCCACTTCGGTTCCCCGCCGTCCTTCCCGTCGCCGCCACTTCTTCTCCTCGCCGTCGCAAACCCTCTCCTTTTCTCTCTCCTACTGTCGCCACGAAACCCCCTTTTTTTCCTCTCTCCCGCCGACGCCCCTCTCTCTCTCTCTCTCCCGCCGAAGCCCTCTTTCCTCTCTCTCCCGCGGTCGCCACGTACCCCCTCATTTTCTCTCTCTCTCTCTCTCTCTCTCTCTCCCGCCGACGCCCTCTCATTCCGCCCCTCTTCTCTCTCTCCACCTTTTCTTTTCTTTTCATTACTATTTTATTATTTCACTTCACTTTTGTACCTCATTTTTAACCTCCGGTCCAAACAGCCCATTCACTTCAAACCACACCAGTCCACTCCTTGGTGTGAACCAGTCAGTCTGAACTTTGGAAAATCGCTGACAAAGCTTAAGTCACTCGAACCAATAAGAATCTTCAAGATATCAAAAATCTCCATTACAAAGGTGTGTTGATTTTTAAATTACTTGTGAAGTTGGTCAATGTTTTTAAATCTTTGCTCTTAGAATTTGTGAGATTCATAGGATAGCCACCTGTGTGAAAGATTGATGGTCCTAACCCTGGTTCAGAAGCATTGTTTGATTCTTTGAATTAAAGAACATAAAATTACAGGATCATCTGAATATTAAATCCTCAAAATTCTAATTTTAATCAACTTTAAAGATTAATGTGTAGCTCTTTTTAAGGAGATCTATTCTGACCCTTCGTCCTGCATCACTAAACCTACTAAAAAATAATTGTCTAACTTCCTCGTTGTCTAGTAAGTCATTATCACGTATATCCTCACATTTACCTAATTGAATACTATATAATGATTCAATTGAGACAATATTGGACAAATAAAAATATTAAATCTGCTGATTTTTTAATTATTACAATCATTTCATGCTGGTCATATAGGACGATTAATATTTTCGATGATAAATGAGATTTTTCATCATCAGTGTGATTTCACTAGAACATGGCCGTCACAAGCAAAATCATACTTTTAGGTGTATCCAAATACCAACAACCTCAATGAAACTCGAGTCCAAACAGAAAAGGGACTGACGTAACTGGGATTTATGATTCCCCCACATATTGCATGCTGATGTTTTAGAGGAATAGTTCATTTTAAGATCTTCAAGCTCTTGCGAACCCCCAAGATTACATATATGTTGTTGGTAACCAAGCTCCTCACAATTCGTAACCCCTGCTTATATTGACAGTTTTGATGATGACAAAGATTAGAATATCTCTCCTTATTTTTCACGTATCATGCATGCCTGTCTATAATTATTTCTAGACTTTGGAAACAAAAATTTCCAAAGCATTAAGACAATATGACTGACTCAAAAGCTCATTAGCACTGCTTATATTGACAGTTTTGATGATGACAAATATTACAATTTTAATTTCTCCTTATTTTTTACGTATTAGCTCACCCATATTATATACTTTTGTGTTTATAATGGATTACATTATTCTAATTTGTAGCATAGTTTAACTCTCCCTGTGACAAAGTTTTCATCATCTGACTGGTTAATAATGTATCTACCACTCAACTTCTGAGGACCTTATTTATCCTTATCATTTAAATCAATGCATGATTAATTGAGTTGCTTTCACATTTAAATTACTTTCTATTCTAAAGAAGTCTAAGATGGAGCACAAAATATATGATCTCGAAAGATGGCTGAGATATTAGTGGGGGAGGACAGTGCTGAGATATGACTCATATCTTATTTGGGTCTGACAAGGCCGACTGTTTCACGCTACATATCGATCTGAAGTCAAGAAGATGAACCCCGAATATTAGTTTCCCCTTAGACAAAAGAGAGAGATATTGACATGAAGGGGAAAGGTCTTTTAAATAATACCTGTTCTTGGCGGACCTGTGTGTGTTAATCACTACCCTTTACCCTCGCTTCCCCAAGGTCTTTTCTCTCGGAGCAAGGTTTGGTTTCAGATTGTCTGGAGGAAGTCCATCCATGATATATATCGAAACATTCCAAATCATAATCTATTGTTAAAATTAACAATCTTGTTTGATACACATTTTACCAATGAATTTATGTAGCCTTCTATTTGTGTCTTTTATTATAAATAATAATTTACATTAGACATCATAAAATATTATCAGTGAAAAGGTTTGAGTAAATTTCAGCATGGGCTGAAGAGTAAAATCGTGGGCAAAATCTTACTTGAACACGAACTACACGATATGCACAGGGCTGGAACAAAATAGCCTTTTCTTCTTTTTCTCTACCTATACTCATAAAGTTACCAGTAAAATATCTTCATTGACTGGTGAACCTATAACTGTCGTTACCAGTGTGTAGAGACCTCGCCCCGAATCACTAGTTTGTTTGAATCCCGAGTTGGCCTCTGGTGTAAATAATGGTTGTGTTTCAGGTTTCAGGCCAGATCATAGGATCCTTTAGACAGGCTCACTCATTCACATCTCAGCAGGAGGTTGTATGAAGGGTGAAAGGGCGCAGGGTCAGTGCCGCAAAGGAACAGGACATATGATCGATATCTATGGGAAATTACAAAATATATGACCATAGTACATTTTTTTACAATATCAGTAAAGAAAATGGCAACCTTCTCAATACAGCAAGCCTTTCTTATGAGGAAGGCCTGTGATAGATCTTCCAGCAAGGAAGTTGACTAGTCATTTGGCGGGCTTAGACTTACGAAAGCCCACTTAAACTTGAAAAATGTTACTCCCAAGAACCACGCAAAACAAAGTGTGGGTAAGGAAGAATAAATCAACCAACAACAAAGGCACCGACACACAAAAAAATAATGTGGTTCAGCGGTCAGCCTATAACGTCCACAGGCGACGACGGGAAAAACTTAGCTAAATGTTGAAGATGTTTACAAAAAA